TTTTGCGAGGAGGTAGGCCCCCTCCCCCTGACTCGAGACCCGTTCCCCGCCCCCCAACCCCCCTCCCCGATTCGCCGCGGCATCGGCCGAAAGTTCTCGGCTGGGGGGGTCCCGCCCTAGGCCGCCGGCCGCGGCCTGGGCCGAACCAGGCCGCGGCCACCGTGCAACATAGGGCGCACTTGCCACCAAATTCCAACATGGCCCCGGGCTAGTCATCCACTCAACTCAGATCACCTATCCGCATTCTGACACCGACGATCCCGGTCGTCACGCGTCATCCTCCACCACTGCGATCGTCACCTCGCCAACTTAGTCTCGACGTGGCTTGCCTGGATCCCACAGTATGTCATGGCGATCTAGCGCACCGCCAGCCAGTCTACAGTCAGCTCGTCAGGACTTTCCGACTCGCACCGTATACATCATCTAGCCACTACTTCCCGGAAGCTGGCGGATGAGTTGAGAGAGGGTTTTGCGTGGGCATGGGCGGAATTTATAGCTGCGAGAAGAGAGAGAGACACAGAGAAAGGCAAAGGGTGAGGCAGAGGAGGGTACAGGAGAGTTTGAGAGTGACCGCCCGTCGAAAGCCATGTTGATCCCTCCTAACTCGACCTCAGCCAATCAGAATCGTCGCGCAGTACGAACTTACACGACGCTTCTCCTTGGCTAGACGGGGAGAGAGGATCGACTGGGTTTTCGAGCGCGGATCTTAGAGCAGGAAGAAGAAGAGCGCAGAGGATAGCGTGAAACGGGTCCAAGATTCAGATGATCAAGAAGGAGAAAAAGGGCGCGCGCTGAGAAGGGGAGGGAAAAGCAGTTACAAGGGGAGGGAGCGAGGAAGCGTGTGCGCGCCAAGAAAGACGGTGAGAGGAGCGCGGGGAGGAAGGAGGAGGGAACTTGCTTGCATGGCGCCGATCGGCAAAAAGGGAAATGGGCACCAAGACAGTTGCAACTTTTTCCAATCCTATGCTAATTCAAAAATTGAAAGCACCATATCTGCGCGCAAAACAGGCGCGGGAAATAAAGTGTTCCGTCCATCCATATTCCTACAAGAATTTCCCAGAGTTTTCAAGGTCGAGGCCAAGAACATCCGCGCGTGGAAGGTCGCGCGACATTCTGTTAATTCCGGGATCTCTAACTGCCGAGCCAAATTCCAAGCGCACTCGTTAAGGAGCGCGAAATTCCCATGCATTGTCAATCAAAAACAGAGAAAAAAAGGAACTGACAGATTCCCACAAGGTACCTTTAATCGGGCACAGACAGAGGGGGGGGGGGAGAAGGGGATCTCGGGGTAGAACTGTACACATCTGGAGGTAGAGAAAACACGAGAAAAAGGAAGGGGTCCGAAAGATGGCGCAGGTCCGGAAGCTAGTACGTCACATATGTGACCCGCAGGGGGTTCCAAAATTATGCAATCTCCTGATTGCATGCCATGGCGCCGTGGCGGAGAAGGAGAGAGGGGGATGAGAGGATGAATGAGGAACCAAGTGTATCAGGAGAGACAAATGCTCGCATCAACGGAGATATTGGAGGCAGAGTTCATGTTGACGCCAACGTCAATTGCAATTTCTTCGCGAGTCTGCTGGCTCGA